ATTCTGCTTTCTATGACCGACCTGAGAAAGAGAGAGAGAGAGAGAGAGAGAGAGAGAGAGCGAGAGCGAGCGAGCGAGCGAGCGAAACGTTCTTGAGACAGTGACACTTAGGATGTACAAGTGTTGGAAACTTTGGGATTATCGATTTTGTAGCATTGGAACTCACACTATGGATATGAAGCTCTTTAATATGTATGTACGTATGTATGTTTGTCTGTCTGTATGTATGTCTGTATGTCTGTATGTCTGTATGTCTGTATGTATGCAAGTACGTACGCCTGTATGTATGCATGTATACATTGCATGCATGTACGTAGCACGTCTTTCTGTACTGATGTGTGCATGCACGGATGGACGGATGGATGGATGGATGGTCGTCTCTGTCGGCCTGCCTGTCTGTTCACTCTCACGCAGGCACAGTCACGATTTCGAGACGTTGAACTTGGTCTTCACCAAGTCTGAGCGCCTAAGAAAGGCCCCAATCGCGGACACTGTCGTGGATCGCGTCCGCCAGAAGCTCATCATGCGTAGGTGAGCCTTGTGAACATTGGGCTCTGCAAGTTCAATGAGGTTGCCATCCGTATGCCTCAAATGCCACATTGCTAACACGTTTAAGGACGACCTCAGAGCTACGGGCAGTTCGTCGGTAGAAGACCACAGAAGCGCTGTCAAGAACAACTCAGCCAACTTCGAGCCCTGCTGGTCGCGTACCGTGTTCCGGAGGAGGTACTGCATCTCACGGAGAAGACCGTGAAGAATTGAGAAGGTCTGACATGCAGCGAAGATGGGTTGCAGATTGCTTCACTGAGTTTGCGAGCGTGGGATCGCGACCTGCAAGTACACAATCTGCCCAGGCAGCCGCAGCATCGGCAGTTTCGCCAACATCAACTGCATCTCTCGAGGGAGCGTGCTGCCAAGGCAGTGGCAACGCTGGGTGCGACTGATGTGCTTGCTTTACAAGTGACAACAAGTGCCCGAGCGCTGCCTCTGCGAAGTTGGCCAAAGGATCGAGCGACGATGCAACGATCTCGGTAGACTCCTCTTCCCCAGCTCCTGGACCTGTTGCATGCCAGACAGCTCGAGCGTGCTCCCGTTCTTCTTCGAGTGACAAGTCTTCTGCGTCCCCATCAGCGGCGTGGAACAGCATGCTGGAGCGAGAGTCCTCGGACTCTGAACTTCGCATTCTGCTGGCGGAATTTTGAAGGATGCTCCCGGCGCTCAGTGACTTCGGTCCAGCTGAGCTCGTTCCAGGTCTCAGACTGTGTCTGTCTCGAAGCTGCGCTACTTGTCTCGCGAGGTCAGCAGCCCTTTTTTCTGCAGCCGTGCATTTGTGACGAAGTGATCTCGTTAGTCGCTCGGACTCCGCTTTCGTCTGTGCAGCTTCCTCTTCTGCCTTCTTGGCCCGGCTATCCGCAACAGAGGCCTCGCCCGCTATGGCTTCGACCCGCGGCACTAGAACTTCGTAGAACAATTCCAGCTTCTGAACTCTTTCCGACATCAGCGACAGATCCGAATCCACAGCTGCCAGAAGCAGCCCCGTCTTCCCGACAACCTCAGCAAGTCGAACAGCAGCTCCCAAAACATTCGATGCCGACCTTGGTGGTACGCCAGCCGTCTCAACAATCTCCGCACAATGCTCAATAAAAGCATGGCAGCATTCGCAAAGCACATTCTCCCAAGTTTTGGCTGAGCCAGATGCGTTGGTTGCAAATGGTTTCTGCCAATGGTTCAGGCGGTTCCGGACTTGTGCAAGCGATGCATGTCCGCAGCGAGCTGCTTGAGCAAGCTCTGAAGCGTGGCTCGCCGCCTGCATCCAATCATCCCAGCTGTTGGCCGGACTAGAAAATGGCACCAAGAGCGACGTGCACACCTCCTGGAATGCCTGCATGAGGCCTAGTCGAAACGAGAAACACATGGGCTGCGCGAAAGATCATGTCATACAGATTCCGCAAACCACACAGCAAGGCTTAGGACGATCGCTATACTATCTAAAACAGAATGATGCCGCATGTACTCTGATGCACTCTGGACAATGTGAGCCTGTTTATGCTCGCACGAATTGCATACAGACCTGTCTTTTGCAGCTGTCGGACTCTGCTTCGAAGAAGTGCAGTGCTTCCGTGTGACGCATCACACTCTTTCAGCTTTCAAGACCAGTCCCCTTCTTGCACTTGCTGAAACAGCCATCGCTGCCTGGTTTCGGCCAATGATCACTCCGGCAGAAGATTCGCTGGTGGCCATTCGGAATCATGCTGCAGCGGGCGGGGCTCGACGTTCCTGTCGGAGGCAGTTCGCCTCGCCTTGTCCTCCGAAGCCACACTAGCAAGCTAGGGCTAGCTGTTCTCGCGCTCCAAGACCTCCAAAACCTTCGGGGACACCATGCCAAGGCACCAAGGCTACTGACGCTTGGCGGCACGCCTTTCTTGCCCGAGCCAATCTTGCCTTTCGCTTCTTGGCCTGGCAAGAAAACACCAATGTTACCGATACTTAAGCAGCCAAGGAAGCAAGACGGCCTGATAAATCAAACAGTAGGCACGGTTATCCACAATGATTCAGCAAGAGGAATTGTGTTGAGGCATGAAGAACGACAGCTCGGCGGTGGTTTTATGCGGTGGATGCTGGCCCAGGGCAGCAAACTTGTATCGGCAGGAGCACAACAGTAGTAGTAGTAGTAGTAGTAGTAGGCGCCCCCCCTACCAACTACACTTGCTCAAAACCATCTTAAGAGCACATCCGTTTTACTCGGTATTTACAGCACTTTCGTCATGTACGATCA